ATGATGTTTAGACTTAATGATCCTTTGACTTCATTTGCTTAAAATTTGATTTCTTCTATCATGTTTTCTTTTGAAACAAATGAAACCTCCTTTTTTAGCCAGGAAGTTAAGGTGGCATACAGAAATCACTTTTTAGTCTAATATGGAATGTTCAAATGATAGAATCTGACAATTTAATACAAGTAAAATATTTATAGTCACTTTGAATATGTAGCTTGATAGTTCATCTGATAATGAATCTTTGCTTTATAACCTTACTAAGTTTTTAATGTCTGAGGTATTTGTGAGCATAGAAAAAAATTCAGGCAATTGCCTGTATTTTAATTGATACACAGTTAATATTTAAAAATTTAACTTGTCAGTTGTCTTTTTTTTTTTCTTAAGGTGTCAAGCTCAGTATTTTAAAAAATAATACTTTCACTAGGACTTCAATTAATCTTGAAATTATCAGACTAAATTTCCTGAAACATCTTAAAAAACAATAGTTAACAGTACAGTATAATGATTCTAAAAGCACAATCAGCCAAACAAATCTTGTAAATTTCAATCTAATTAAATTTATTAGAATCAAGTTCAGTAAACCAGGTTCTCTTAAATATTAAATGTTGCTTACAAATGTAACTTCTATTGCAAATTCCATATTATAATGATTCTCCAAAGCATTTTACATATCCTTAAGAAAACAGATATGTAGACAAATTACCCGTTATTATTCACTTTATCAATATGTATCTTTTTTCCAACATATATCTTAAACCTCATACAAATTTTTCACATTATAGGTTGGATTTTCTTCAACTTGTCATTTCTTCATCCCAAAACTACATATCTAATTACTGAACAAGACAGAATAGAACTCTCCATCTTCCAGCTTTCTACCACAACTTATCTGGCATAAATTCAGGGCAGGTCAGGGGACCTATGTCTACCTGCAAACCAGAGTGTGCATACTGAGCAGGGCTTAGTCTACATCTTCTTGTTCGGCTCTTGTCTGCCATTTGAAGTTTTGAGTACTAATATAATTTTAACCAAACATTTAATTTTCAGTTTCTTTGCAATCTGGTTCTTTTCCTAGAAATGATGCATTCTGTAAGTTTTTCCCTTGGGTTACACTTCATCTTTGTTTTAATGGGATTTTCCAAGTCCAATTATGTACATTCTGTGTAACTTTTGGCATTAAGGCCAGTTTGTGTACTAATGGGATTTTGTCACCCTACATGTTACAGTAGTACCCCTTTCTCTTTTATAATTTAATAGCTATCTCATTTGGCCATTAATGATTTTTACTGGCAGTGATAATCAAGTTTAGTTTTTATCCCTTTAAATTCACAAAGCCAAAATGATTTTTCTTTCCTAGGAATGCCAGAATCACCTCCGCAGATATGGAAATGTGAATCTGGAACTGGTGACGCGAATCATTAGAGATGGTGGCCCATGGGAAGATCCAGTGTTGCAAGCTGTTCTTAAAGCCCAGCCAGCATCTCAGGAGATAGGTACTTTAGGAGATTCAAAATCAAAACCAACATTTGTGAGAAGCAAACACAATTTTGTTTCCTTATTAGAGCAGCAGTAGTCATTTCTCTTTATTTTATAATACTGAATAATGGAGTAATTTATTTTCAAATGAAGAATGTTTAAATTGTTATTCTGATCTCGCCCAGACTGATTTTTGACATTAGATTAGGTATATTTATTTCAAGTAATGGGAATTGAGAATGTATTTACTGAATATTACTTATTTATAGGGAGTTTATCACTTCAGTTATAGTTTTAAAATCTGTTTAAGAAAGAATATCCTTATTTATAAAAGTAAAAACAAAAACTTCATGAAACCACATGGGATCTCCCTTACAGGAAACTCCATAAAGGCTGGAACTCTGAATTTATTCTCACCAACACTGTATATTCTACAATTAGTCCAGTGCCTGGTGTAGAGTAACTATTTAATATAAGTATTTGTTGAATGAATGAATGACCACACAATGAATGAATGACTAACTAAATGAATAAATACATTTTAATACTAATTCCAAATACCATAGAGCAGTATTTCTCTAAACTTCATCTACTAATAGAAGTTCAGTTTTATTTCATTCCCTTACTACCTATATCCTTCTTTGACATCACCTCCTGTCAAATAGTAATCCTCCTGTGACCCTTGTGGGCCAAAATTTCTTTTTGAGTCAGGAGGGTCTGTCACCTACTTAATCCTTTTTTTTTTTTTTCGTGTGTGTGGGTCACCTATTATTAAACTGTTCTGAACTTAAGAATCTTTTGTGTCACCAAACATAGAATGTTTGTTTGGAAGCTGTGAATATAAGCACAAAGATGTGGGAAACATTTGAAAGTGGGGAGGGAGCCTATAAAGCGAAGTTATAGGAAAGACAGAGAAAAAAGAGCTCACAACCCTGGAACCAGTTAGTCCTTGTCTGGTGAGAAAGATACTTTATACCCTAGATTATGCTGAGCAGGTTAGGATATTTCCATTTACGCCAGGTTAAGTGTGGGGTAGGTTGTAAGTGGAGCTGAAGGAGGGAGGAGGCTGTGATTCTCATATTTAAGAATAAACCACCTGCAGATACAAATGTAGAACTATGAGAGTGAGAGAAGATGAAGAGAGAAAACCAGGAGAATAAGTACAAAGTGGGGTATTTGATATAAGACTTTAAGAAAAGGACTAAGGTATATATGACAGTGGTAGAGAACCCAGTGGATACAAAAGAGATGTGTGTGGATCTTGGAAAGGGATTAAAAAAGAAAAGAAGAGAAAATAGGAGAGGGAGACAGTTGAAGCTGAGGAGAAAGAGTTAGATTATTTAGGAAAAGTATAAAGAGTCTAATATAGGAAAGGCAAAGTTTACTGGGAAATGTGGCCAGAGGAGATAGGAGATAGACAAAAGCTTAGGAGGGAGGAAAAGGGAGAAGAAAGTTTAGACTTCTACAGGAATTTTGAGCCTCTGAGTAGAAGCTAAAGCAAACCTATTGTTGGTTGTTCTAAGGGATAATGACCCTTTAGACTGCATATCACATTAGAATAATAAATATTCCTTTCATAACTACACTAGCAAGCTTCGGGAAAAGCTGCTCTAGAGCCTCATTAATATGGAAAACTTTTCTTTAGTTAGTGATCATTACAGTAAAGATTAGGGTGAAGTTTATTTATGTATTAACTACAAATCAGTGTTTGCCCATAATATCATAACCAGAATTACAAGGCTAATGTTTAAGCCAAAATAAAACATTACTTATAAGCCCTTCATTGATTAAACATATGTAAGTAATCAAACAGTTTTGGATTCAAAGTCATAAAATAAAGGTTCCAGTTTTGATCCTGCCACTTAAAAATTCTTTTTCCTTGGGCAAGTTATTTGACCTCTCTGAGACTCAAGAAATGTCACCTATAACACAAATATCATAAGACCTGTCATAAGGTTGTTGTTAGGTCTAAATAAACTTGTGTAGTTAAGAGTGCTTATATATTTCAAACTGTGTGAATATAGGTATAAATTAGTAATTATCCTTATGTAATACATGAGCATTTTAATAAACAGTTCTATTTGGCACTATTTTGGATAAATTTTATTTTAAAATAAAATATATCTCATTATTGTTTTTTCACTAACATATTGCTTTTCTAATTAATCTGATTTAGTGTGGTTTAATGTGATAACGTAGGATTCAGCTTTTTAATCTTATAGTAATTAAAATAATGGGCTGTAGGAAGAGAAACTATGTAATCTGAGACTAGAAAGGCATCATAGCCAGTACCCTTTGAAACATATTATCAAACTAAAGAGGAAAATTTAATTTTTTCCCTTTCTTAAATTTTAGGTTTTTTTTTTTTGTTTTGTTTTGTTTTTTACTTTTTAGACTGAGAAGAAATCAGCAAATATTTCTTGAGTGCTGTTTTGGTATTGCTCTTATTTTCATTATTCCAACCATATAATTGAAAATTCTTTTCATAAATAAAGTTTACTAAAGAAAATGTTAGTTAAATAACTTGTTAATCTCATTAGATATCATATTTTAGTGGTAAAGTTTCAAACAAAGTTTCAGAGAATCTTTTCTTGAGGGTAACAGAGTGTTTCTTTTTAATATAGTGAACAAATATTTAAGTTCTGAAAATCCACTGTTCTTTGAACTACGCGCCAGATACCTAATTGCTTGTGAACGCATACCTGAAGCAATGGCTCTTATTAAATCTTGTATAAATCACCCAGAAATCAGTAAAGACTTGTACTTCCATCAAGCATTCTTCACATGTCTGTTTATGTCACCTGTGGAAGACCAGCTATTCCGTGAGGTATTGTTTGAGATTTTTGCCAGTTACCATTTTAACCTTACCAAAGAGGGGCGGGGTAGCTCATTATTGTTGAATTATTTTTTTCATTATACCAATGATTTAAAGATCACATTATCTAGATGTGTTCTCTTTTGGCACCATTCTTTAAATGCATGTTGAATTAGAATCTGATATTAACAAATAATGAAATTAATAAAATATATTCTCTAATAAACATTACTTGAACTTTTGGTGTAACAGAAAGAGTCAAATAAAAAGCAAAAAACACTGTGATTTTGCCTTTTACCTAACGTAGTAAAATGCTAAATGCTCATATTTATTTATTTTTTCAAGATTAAAGAATGAATCTTTTCCTAATATGGAACCTACTTGCCTGCAGGTTCTAGGCATTAATGAGATTACAAGCACTCATTATAAAATGAAGGTGCTATGCAGTAAAAATAAGAAACATTAAAGTATTTCTCTATAATTCATCATTGCCAGTAGTTTCTTCTGTTTAAATATTTAATGAAATTAGCTTTTTAGACATTTTTAATGAGATGAACTGATTTTTCCTTTCTCACAGCATTTATTGAAAACAGACTGTAAGAGTGGAATTGATATCATCTGTAACACTGAAAAAGAAGGCAAGACTATGTTAGCTTTGCAACTTTGTGAATCCTTTCTTATTCCACAGCTCCAGAATGGTGATATGTACTGTATATGGTAAGTATTCCTAATACAGAAATTAAAATGGTAAGATGGGTACCAGAGGGAGAAATGATTAGCAGTTTGGACTTCATAGCTATTTTAATATTGTGTGAAAATATTAAACTATTTTAAAAATTTTGTGCAAAGAACAACAGTATAAGAATTAAATATCTTAAAAAGAAAATAATCATATGTAACTCATTGTTTAAATTTTCAAGGAAATCGCTTCTCAGCCTTTTGGCTAAGATCAAGTGTAAATTTTCAAGGTATGTGTTATAGTGAAACAACGTTTGAAATTAAGTTTTGGAGCATGAATTTGTAAAAAACATTTGAAAACTATTTAAAAGTTTTAAGTAGGATTTTTAAAAAGTGCTTTCAATTTTTAAGTTCTTTAAAACAATATCTTGAAGGCATATAGTTCCAAATCATATTTGAACATTTTTGTTTTATAGATTAAAATTTTCATATAGCTTAGAGAAGGGGACCTAGGAAGAAGTGCACTTGTCTTCTAGGCGAGTAGTATACTTTTCTTAGTTAAATTTTTATTTTTATTTGAAAAATTGACCATGTCAACTGGAATTGCAAATAGTGGAAGAGAATAAGGAGATGGTGGTGAGACATGTGAACTTCTAAGTAGTTTTAAAAGTATTATCATGTTTTGTATTCTGAAATGGAATATAGTCATGACTGATAATAGTAGATCTTTTCCAATGGGGATAAGAATGTTCTCTGCCCTTAGCTCTAGCAAACTATTTAAATAGGGTATCTTTAGTCTTTTAATTTATTCAGAAGTGAATGGAATCAAGTGTAAACAAACAAACAGAAAGATCTGCTTTATTTTGTTCTTTTCTTTGTTAAATTTTTATTCTTTAAAGAGGGAACTTAAAATGGAATAATGCCTATCTTCCAACTCCTGGCCACAGACAGCCTCTTAAGAATAGAAGCAGGGGCTGGGGATGTGGCTCAAGCGGTATCGCGCTCGCCTGGCATGCGTGTGGCCCGGGTTCGATCCTCAGCACCACATACAAACAATGATGTTGTGTCCACCAAATACTAAAAAATAAATATTAAAAATTTATTATTAATAAATATTAAAATTCTCTCTCTCTTTCCTTCTCTCTCTCTCTTTAAAAAAAGAATAGAAGCAGTGTGTGTGTGCGACTCCTGCTTTCTAACCAGCAAAGAGTCTTTCTTTTTGACCCTTCTTTCTGAAAAACCTGTTTTTTTTTTTTTTTTTTGGTACCAAGGATTGAACCCAAGAATGCTTTACCACTGAGCTATATTCCCATTCCTTTTTATTTTTAATTTCGAGACAGGATCTTGCTAAGTTGCTTAGAACATTAGTAAGTTGTTGAGGCTGGCCTCAAACTTGCCATCCTCTTGCATCATTTCAGCCCCCTGAATGGCTGGGATTACAGATGTACCCTGCTGTGTCTGGTCCACAATCTAGTTTTATTCTATTTCAAGCTAACAGGGCAAGCTACTACCCCCATTTCTTTTTCATTGTCATTAATAATAACAACAATAACAAAAATGTCCAACATTTAGTGAGTGCTTCTTATATTTTATATTTGATATATGCATTATCTCATTTAATCCACAGTCTTATGGAGTAGACTATGTTCAAGCCATTCAGTTTGGAAGTAAAGCCAGGATTCAAACCTAGGCAGTTTCACACAACAGCTTGTGCTGTTAAACATTACCTACTAAATAAGCATCAAATTAAGGAAAAAACCCCATGTTGTTAGGGTGACTGTAGACTCTGTTATAGCTTTCTCTTAGAAATTAGGTAACTTGATGATTATATTAGTAGTTAATAGGGCCCTTTATAAGCTACCTGGGAAGTGTTTGTATACTGAATGTACCCTCTGATTAAAGGAAAACTGAGCTTTATTAACTTGACTTTATGGATTTCTAAATGAGGACTATTGGTGATTTTCAAGGTGTTTTTTTCTTGTTTTCCCTCAAAATCCAACATACAAGTAAAAATAAGATCTCATAAATTCATTCAAAATGGAGTTTTACAACCTCATGCTAAGATTTCTGCTTTGCCTGTTACACAACTAAAATCCATCTGGTAACCCATTCTGGCAAACTTATTAGGATCTTAGAATATTTATTTTGTTTATCAAGTTTTCTTATGACTTAATTATGACTTAATGAAATAAAAGGGAAATAAAGATTTTTGTCATAAAACAAAAAGAAAAAAAATTCCCTTCATTTTGTGCCCTAAGACTGTCTGTAAGGACCTCAAATTATTTTCTTAAACAAGCTGTAAAGTAAAAAAATATACATTTCCAATATGTCAAACATTCATTTGTATGATATTGAGTAGAATATCTCTCCATTGATTTTCAACTGTCATTTTGGTTTAAAATTTGTTAAAGAGCTATGGTATGTCTTTTTAAATATAGTTGATCTGTTTCCCTTCATTCATCTCCGTCTTTTCATAAAACACTTCTTATTTGTAATGTCCACCATCATCTCTTATCTCATTCCATGTGTAGTTTTTCTTACTATAGTCAGTCCTTCAAGAGGTTTCAGCATTTAGGAATATAATAGTTGCCATATTATCAGGCTAGGGGTATAGCTCAGTGGTAGTGTACTTGCCTCATGTTATCATGTGTGAGGCCCTGATTCAGTTCCCAATCCCCCACGCCCCTAACACATACACAGATTACCAGATTATCAACGTAAAAATATTTGTTGACTAAATCTTAGTGCTTGGCCCTATAAAATTACAAAGACAAGAAATGAACATAAGAAATTAGCGATTAAATGTCAATATATGCTAGACATTTCATCTATGTGTTTCATTTATCTCCCTTAATTCTTTTAATAAAAATACTGAATAAAAGTTACGTGAGCATTGGCTTTTTAATCTTATTTTTGAAATTTCAGTTACTACATCTGATGTCCCTTTTGATAACTTCTGAAACCAAAGCATTTAATGAAATTAATATATCTTCAGTCTTTCTTTTCAAACACTAAAACAATATTTAAAAATTTTTTTTTAAATGTTGAATAGTAATAATCTCAGTTTTTATGTATAAGGAAGCTGTAGCTGAAAGAGATAAAAGAAACAAAGCTAATAAAAAATGGAGTTGTAATTTACACAATTTAACTAGTCTGGAAGTAAGAGATGTGTTTCACTAGCATAGAGGAAAGATAATATTTATTGAAAGCATACTGGAATGTGACATGAGACACAAGAAGAGCAGAAATACAGTCAGTCCTCAAGATAACTGCTATCAGGGACAGGGAGATTGCTAGTGTTCTTAAAAAATTTGTTTTCTCCCCCCCTCCAATTTATTTATTTATTTATTTTTACATACATGACAATAGTGGAATGCCTTACACTCATTATTATCCATTTACAGCAGTTTTTCGTAACTCTGTATATAATGTATGTTCACGCCAAAATTATGCCATTATACGTGTACTCTTTTTTTTTTGCATTACAATTCTTAATACACATATATACCAGTTTTTCATATCTCTGTATATAAGGTATATTGACACCAAATTCAAATCTTCATAACATATATTTTGTATATTGATGACCATCACATTCCTACATCCTTGCTAATCCCCTTCCCCCTCCTTTTCCCTCCCACCCCTCTTCCCTATCTAGAAATAATCATTCTCTCATGCTCTCCTTCCCTACCCCACTTTGAGTCACCCCCCTTATATCAGAGAAAACATTCGGCATTTGGCATTTATTTTTTTTTGGATTGGCTAACTTCACTTAGCATAATCTTCTCTAATGCCATCCATTTACCTGCAAATGCCATGATTTTTTTTTTATTGCTGAGTAGTATTCTATTGTATATAAATGCCACATTTTTTATATCCATTCATCCACTTAAGGATACAGCCACTGAAAGGACTTAAAAATTTGTTTTCTCTGTCATTTTGCTTCAGTGTCTCCTGCTCTTGATAGCAGAACACCAAGAGTCCCCAAGTTTCATAATTTAGAGTTAATACCCCAGGGACTCTGGCTTGATTGGGGTCAGTTTCCCACTCCTGAATAAGTGGGAAGAGAGGTCACATAGGAGACATGACCATGGGAGTTTCACCCTTATAATATTAGAGCCATTCCCAGAAACTTATGGCTCACTGTTACCTCCAATTAGTATTTAATGTGATATTAAAATTTAGGGGTTTCATCCCCAATTACGTGTTCTTGCCACTATTACCACTGTACAACATGTCACTGAGGTGATTTATAATGTATTAAAAGTGGGGAAATGCAACCTATAAAACATATACAAGGAAGCATATGAAAGGTATGAAGGCAATAAAAGGTAAGAGGGATGAGATCTATTCTGAAATAGTTTTCACTTTAGTTTGGGGTATTCATGAAGAGAAACTTTGAAAGATGGCTGATCTTTGAAATGAGGAGTACAATCAGGATAAACAACAAAACAATAGTGAAAATAAATGAAGCAGTTTTACCGACAATGAGGAGACCACCCTAGAAAACTACCTAAGGCTCAAGTATTGATCCTTTTCACTCACCCATGTTTCTGTTGCTGTTAACACTGAGTATCATATTGAATAAGCACCAAGTATAATGATCAGGGAGGCTGGAAACAAATCAGGTTAGCAACCACTGTAGTAGTACATCTGTAAACTTAAGGGGCCTAAGATAGCACTGAGAAAGAAGGATAGAGCTGAGAGCAAAAATATAATTGAAATGTAAATGTGCTAGAAAATAAACAAGTTAGGACCTGCAGGGTTGAGGAATATTTAGTGTCACTGATCTAGAAAAAGATCAACAACTTGCCAGGAATATGATTAATTCTAACTGGGTTATTGTGGTAGAAATCTAAGTTGAAATACACAGGCATGAAAATTTGGAAAGAATTGAGAGCTAGAGATTTGGAAGGAAGGTGTGAAACCTGGTGAATGTTCTAAAGGAGGATTTGTGGTGAACTGAAGAGCATCCACACAGCTAGTATGAAATAGAGATGGAATTTTGGTTTTACTTCTTTACCTGCTATTATTTTCTGTGTTGTGTTTTCTGTATTTTGTCTCTTAAGTAGACTATATGGTAATCAAAGTGTCCTTAGATTTGGGGAGAGGGGTAGGAAGTAGCATTTATTGGTGGGCATGACTAAAGAGGGGACAGGAAGCACAGGGGAAGCCCTCACAAGTGCAGGGCTCGCCACTTGTCCAGGGACCATGATTAAGGATGAATAAGACCCATAGCCATTCAAGATGAACCACTTCTCAGCCACCATGTCTTCAAATTCATCTGCATTAAACTTAGTAAAGCCCTATTTCTTTAAGATGTGAATCTTCTGTGACCAGGGAATTTGAACTTGAGCCCTGGCTAAGACCTTAATCACATCATGCTCCTTGTTCTGCAACTTGGTGCAGATGGACGTGATGATTTGGTCAGTATAATCTCTGATCACTGTGCCCTGGGGACTTCCAAAAGCATTTCAAATACCTGTCTGGAGCCCTCGATTATGAACAGCCTAGGAGACAGGAAGGTCCATTGGATCCTGTTTTCAAAGGACCCTTAGGGTAATCTAAACAAGCAACACTTGAGTTATCACTGAGGATGCTGCTGTTTGCAAGTATTACACCCTGGGGCCCCAAGAAGAAAGATGCCCAGTCAGCTTAAATGGCTGCAAATTTCCACAGATTGAATACCTATATGTGCTCGGCTTAAAGTACATATTCAGTTAAATCACTCAAAAAAATTTTATCAGTTAGATTATGATGCTTTGCCTAACTTTTATGACAAGTTTTAAAAATTTCTAATTTGTTAAAATTAGATAATCAAATATATCAATTATATCTTCTACCTTTGCCTCAAAACCCACTGTTTCTAGCCTTATTTATCCTGTAAGCTTGGCTATATTTTAGAAAGGAATCTACCTCTGAAATACTTTAAATGGTACATAGCTTATCTGCTTAAAGTATTAGAACCTAAAAAAAGAATGATTTAAAACATAGAAAACAATTTCAGAATCAATACGATTATTCAGAATTTTAATGTATATTACTTTTGGTACCTTAATAGATTAAGATAGTCTACA